TTGGATGGGCTAATCGTTTGAGCTGCTTACAAGATAACCATTCGTACGTCTTTATAGATTGTACCGTCTGCATGTATGCATATAGGGGGGCTCCTGTCAGTCGGCTTTATCCCTGCTCTCCACAAATAGAGCAGTGTTATTCGTATAACGTAATTCCACTAAGTAAAATTTCGATCCATAATTATCCGCTCACATAGTAGCGCTTTTTGGAGAAAGAATTATGAAGAGAGAACTAAGTATGACGTTCGTATGTATAGTACGAGGGTAGACGGTTTTGGGATAAAATTAGCGTCGAGGAGTCTCAGTTGAACGTAATCAGAGGTTGGACGTTGGCAGAAAAGAAAAAGTTTGGCGACAGAATGCAAGCCAAAGCAAGTGCGTGGTGGTCAAAGGAACAGAAAATAAAAGAAAAAAATGATCAGAGACAGTTTAAATTTAAAGTTGAGAAATCTAAATATTAATGAAAATTTTGTCATATTAAAATTTGAAGTTGATGTTTTGTATGAGATTAAAATTGTTAGTAAAAGAATTTACGGAATTTTGTATAGAAACGGTTGCAATAAAGTTTTGGACAAAAGTTGGAGAAATTTAATTTGTGCACGACTATAAATATTTGGAGATCACCATCGGTATTATTTTCAATAACTTTCTCTCCTCCCTCTATCACTTCTTCTTCAAATCAACGAAACACTACAAGTTGCTTTAGTAAACACAACAGGTTTGCACAACCTTGAGCCAGCAAGTTGCAACAGCATACAGATTTTACAGTGAAACCCCTCGTAAATAATGTTAACATACAGTTAATTCATATTTTCATAGTGTGGTAAATAGGTAAGTCGAGGTTAGGTTACGGTTTATTAGAGAATTGTTGCCGTGCATAAATTCATAACGCTTGCAGCCACCATTGAAAACAATTATTTGCGCGTGTTTTAGAGGATTCGTTATCTTTATTCGTAAAGGACTTTCGAGCTTTTCTTTGTAGAGATTAGGCAATACTTGATTCTCTTCTTCAACTTCTAGAATATAAACTGAATTCTGCTAACCAAGTCTTTGTTTCCTACAAGAGCAAAGTTTAATCTTTGTGTCTTGATGTTGCGGAAAAATTGCGGCAAGGAAACGACCTGGTTTATCAATTCACATTCTTGCTGAACGTATACTTCAGAGTGTTAAATATGGGAGGGTAGATGAAGGTTACTTTGTAATAGTTTTCTTAGTTTTATCTAATTTGTCTTCTTCTCTATATTATATCAGATTTTTACCCTTCATCGTAGAGAGTATGAAAAGACCTTATTGATCCGTCAATAATGGAAAGAAATTAAATTTGAAAGCCAATCGTTTCTCTTGTCCATATGTCTGCAGGGCGATATTTTAATTTATCCGTCCGTCTGTTTGAAAGTGCGTCAATTTATTCAATGAAATCCCTAAATCGACTACAAAGCCTTGTCTAAGATGTCGAAATTGGCTCAGATGGATGCTGAGCGCATGTTACGTCATTTTGTTGTTTTTAGGTTACAACGAGTTTGTGATGGTCGTTTAGTTATCGACGTTTATATAATCTCGAAGCCATTACGGCCTATTATAATAGATTACAATGTCTCTCATAGCTACGTCTTTTAGAAAAATAGAGAGAAAAAAATGAAAACCGTTCTTGCCAAGATTTATACAGGATTGTAATCTAGACGCAAGTCTGAATTACATTTATAACAAAATTATGTATTTCTATATTTCGCAGATAAAGTTCAACTTAATTTGAAATAGGCATAAGTTTCGCATATAATTAAGAAAAAATATAGAATTATAAATCCGCACTTTGCTGTTATTCGCTTAATAATGTTGCATTATATTATTATTCATTCGCCTAGTGTTATATGAAGCCCGTCGTCGGCGGGCATGAAAATACTTTACAATTTTTTAACAATCGTCTGAAAGCGGTTGCATTGTCAGGTTCTCATTTACTGTGAAATATTTAGGGAAAACACATTTTGTTCAATAGGTTCACTTTTAACTTCATTTGTTTATTTGCTTCTAACAAATTACTTTCGCTTTCATAAAAATAATAAATGTCTATTTTATGTAATATGTAAACAAAATCTTTTTTTTTGTTATCTTCTTTAATAACAACTTGCAAAGCAAATATGCAACACTTTAAAATTCGATTTACATATCTAAAGTATGATTGCTGAATAACATACTCATACGCCATGGAGATGTAACACGAGAAATGTTTTATATTAGAGAAATTCTCTCAATTGAGATCTCAATTAAGATATTTGATATCTCAGGCTACTTAATATGAGTAACATTCGAATTTGATAAACATATTACATGTAAAAAGACACATACTGGATATTATGTATGTGTTATGGATATGTTATAAAAGGTCCTTATCCGTTTTAAAAGTATATGTTACATAACTAATCAGCATACGGTTATAAATTAATTTTATTTACTCATTTTCCCAAACCTCCCGCCTTCAAATTACTCCCCTCCCATACAGTGCACTCATGTCAACATTTCTTCCAATCTTCGAAACATTCAGAGAAGTCTTTTTCCCAAATCGGATTTTTATATATTCCATGCAATCGAGGGCAAGTTCCTGGACCAGTTTTTTGAATTCGTTGAGCAACCAGAACTTGCCGTACAGAGGTAAATTGTGCAACTTGGGTGGTTGTGGAACGAGGCGGTTTGATTTTTCATGAATTCTTCTCAAATAATCAATGCAAAAATTAAGTCTTTTTCATATCAATTGCGATTTAAAGTATTTGGGGCGAAAAGCATTTTCTAAAAGGCTTGGCTTCACCTAAACGAAATGCTCACCGCACCAGCAAGGCCTGTAATTGTCAATCAAAGGCTTTCGAGCAACTTTGATTTTCTTAACGCGACTTAGATGAGTACATGGTGATAGTCCGGGGCGCGGTTCACCTTAGTGTCATTTTCGGATTTTTTGCAACAAACCCTTACCCCCGAAAGCTTTCCATTACATGCTCAACGTTGTCTTAGCAAAGTATTTATTCCGGAAATAGAATTTCGTTCATGCTCGTTGTTCAACAAAATCAGTCACACCAATATCCAAAACCTCATTTTTCTAAGTTTAAGAAACACCTATAAATTCCTCTTCTTCTTTCAGAATTCACCAAAACAACAGTATATATTGAGTATACTGAGTAAAAAACGTTCAATGTGAACACGAAGTTGTTAATCTAAACTATAATAAAGTTGGTGGTTAGCTTGATTATAAATGTATAGAGACATATTTTTGTGTGTTTGCAATCCGCTACGTACCTTGTTTTGGGAAAAATATTCTTCTGCATGCTTGAAATGAAAGTCTACGTAGGTGTTAAAACCAGTATTGTCGACTAAAAAGAACAAATAATAACAATTTCGTGACTTCATATTACCCAAGCAGTGTAAATGAAAAATTCACATTATTTTTTGATTCATTAGTATACAGGCAGTGTTTTTTTGCCTATACTGATTAAGCGGAGGTTTCAAAGAGTATATTTCGAGACCTTTCCTTAATGCTTTTTTTGCCAGTTGTTTCTACAAATTTCCAAATTTTCTAATTTTTTTAAAATAGCCTTCGCTAATGGAAACTTTTTATGCGTTTACTTTATATAGACTTATAATTGCTGTCATAAAAGAATGATTGAATATTCCGTGTAAGAAATACAAATTAGTATGTTGGGTATTTAGTGTTTTGAAAGGGTTGGAGGGTACCAATAAAATATACAAATGGAAGATATGAAGAAGATTCGGTCGGAACGCATTAATTGATTAAGAGCCGATCATTGAACCATATTTTGTAGTAAGAAGCAAAGTTGCACCGGGACAACTTTAAACCTTCGATATGGGTATGGAATTAAAAACAAGTAAAGCCATTGCTTGCTACGCAACCGTACAGTTGTTCAAAAAACCGACCTTCAAAACAAACTGTTAGTTAAGCAATCTCGCTCAATGTACAATAGTGTGCGCCCTTCGGCCGCCAAAACACGTCAGTGTACCTAATTTCATTAAAATTTCTCAAAAATTGTGGTTTGTGGATTGAACACAAGAAAGCACGACGAATAGACGCACTTAAATTAAATCGAAAAGTAGTTCTGAATGGAACGGTGTCATAAAAGGTTTGCTCATCACAACTCTCTCTGGATGTTGTATACATCTGAACTAGCTTAATATATCACTTGTGCCACAAGTGGCGCATAAACGTATACTTTATGCCCGTTATCGAAGAAATATGTATCAAAGGCACTATATTTGTGATTAGTGTAAGACTTTAATTAAATTTAACGAAGTTCAACGTCGATCTACGTCCATTGACAAACTGAAATAATGCCGGAGAATTAGCAAAGAAAATTTCGAGAAATTTTTGATTAACATTCCAAGTAGTAAATCAGCGCCATTTCTCGCTCCATATTGGAGATTAATCCACCTCTAACCATGCCATGTTTAATTTAAAATCCTACTAGCCTAATAGATGGCACCGGAATTTCCATTAAGACAATTGCTAACATTTTCATATATCTACTGCAGACGATGGGTTTTATAAATTTATTTCAATGTCCATACAGTTTGTTTATAATAATAGTTTCTCTGTTTGTGTGTTACTCATACGCCATGATAAGTTTTATTTAAATTTTTTTACCTTTGTATTATATTAATTTAATAAATACAAGCAAGAAATTCAGCTCAAGCATCAAAAATATTGAATCAAGAGAATGAATAAGACATATAGTTACTCCTTTCCTACCTATGTAACATTCATAAATATTCGTCCAATTTGTTTTGTCTATTTATTGGTTGGTTTAAAGTGAAACAACAACCCATCGAATGAATTCATGATAAACAATCCCTTAGAGAGCGACTTCAAAAAAAAAGAAAATTATACATAAAGAATAAAATAACACTAAACCGAACGTGTTTTGCTATAGTAAACAAATTTTGAAAAAAAAAAACAAAAATAAATAAATGAATAAACACAAAAAATAAAATCAAAAACGTACTTTTTTTTTTTACGTATTGTATAGATAGGTTGTATCGTGCGCACTGTTGAGCAAATTGACATTTGAGGTGGCAGCTTAAAAAATTTGTTTTTTTTTCGATAGTTTATTTTATGTATTTCGTATTACGTATTTACAATAATGCAAAAGCAGCAATGATAGCACGTATGTATATATATATGTACAATGACTGCTACGGTCGTTCAGACGAGAGAACAACGCACACTTGCACACACACACGCACACACACATGCAAAGCAAAACAAAAAAAAAAAAATGATGCTATCGTTTTTTGTGTTTCTCGTTTTTTTTGCCTAAATTCGCTTGCATTGATAAGTAAGATAATTTTCGTTTCTTTTTATTTGTTTTGGTTGGTTACACGAGCAGCAGCAGGGTTTCGCATTCATTTTAGAGATTTTTCTTAATTGGTGCTTGCTTAGCTATAAATTAATTTAACATACATATATATATCTAAGTATATATCAGGTGTTCGTTCGTTTGTTACTATTTTCTTTTTGTTTTTAATTTTAAAACCACGAACGCGCTATATTCCACATCCAGCCGGGTACAAAATTGCCATTATTAACACCTCGATCAACATCTCTAGTATTTTCCTCATCTTCTTGTTTTTTTTTTTTTGATGAGTTTATGAAATTTTTGTTGTTGTTTGGGGTTTTTTTTGTTAAATAAGAAAAAAAGTTAAGAAAAAAAATTTTTATAAAAATTAAAAAGAATTTTTTTTGAGTTGAGTAAATACATACAAAATATAAAGCGTGCGCCGTGTTATATATTGTGTAGGCATCAAATTACTACGATCAACTTAAAGACATGTGGTGTGCGGCATACGGCTTGCAGCTCACATATAATAAATTACACTAAAATACTTTTTTACAGCGGAGCGATTGAGAAAAACAAGAATTGAGGAACAGTGTGAGAGAAAGAGAGTACAAGACAAAGAAAAAATGTAAACAAAATAATAACAAACTAATAGCAAACATTCTAATTACGAAGCATACACACATATATATACATATTTATATGCATGTTTAGATACGCATACACTACACAAATTTTGTAAATAGTTTGTAGTTGCGTGCCAGCTTTGTGCTTGGATATGTCACACGTTGTGTAAGAGTGTTTTATGTGCAAGAGTGCAATGGCTTATGCATCTTGCTTATCTTAAACGTATTGGTGTCGGTTGTAACAACGGATTTCTATCCACGTTTTCGTACGCCTGCAAAAATATATGTGTTTTTTTTTATTATGAAGAGAATGGTGTAGAATAAGAAGAAGAAGAAGAGAACAGAAAAGCATAAAAATAATACAATTTGAATTTGATTTGTAACTGCGTGTAAATGTGAAAGTGACATCAATCAATCCTTTTTTCCAATCTCATGCATTTTGTTAAAAAGGATAGAAAGAAGAGAGAAGATGATACTTGCTAATCTCCTGAACTTTAAGGTGAAAAAGAAAGGTTTAATGTTGATAAGCACTTTTTTTCCATTTCTTTGTAAATATAATGCCAAGATTTTATATAATTATATAATAAAAAACCAAAGTTGATCGATAATGGCTAAGATGCTGAGTTTATGACGGTCCCGAAAGTAAGCCCTAAGTTTTAGTAACTATCATCTGAAAGCAACACAATAACATTTCTCTTCGTTGTAGTGCAATATAACATTTGTTTCAATCAATGTTTGTTGTATAATCATTTGTTTGTTTTCAATATGCCCAGTGCAAGTGTTCTTCATTCTCACAAGTTCTTAAGCGCCATAAACATGTACGTTCGACTGATTCGAATCTGATTGATATTGAATGTGAAGCAATGACTTGCAAAATCTCCCGCAACTGCATTTTGTCGCTAGTATGTATTTTGACAATGAATTAATTTTGCACATTTCTTTCCAGTGCTATGAACTTTTCTAGCGGTCCTTTTAATATATGAGCGAATTTTTCGACTTTTTAAAAAAGGCCACTATACGGAAAGCGGTCTCATCCGAACCATTTTCAGTAGGACTCTCCCTTGGGCCAAAATACGTTGATGTACAAATTTTCATGAAAATATCTCAAAAATTGCGACTTGTGGGTAGAAAAAAGAAAATAAAATAGACGGATGAAAAGATAAACGAGCTTAGATCCCCTTGTAAGTCTTAGTGATTCGGAATCGATCAGTATAATGGAAGATGAATCCGTTTCAAATCCTTACATTGCATTCCTGGATATTGCATTTGTCCGTACAAACTTAAGACAACCTTATACCGCATGTAGGGTGTAAAAAAGGGTGCGTCTTTTTATGTATTGCAATTATATCATTTGATGTTGGTAGTCTGCTTCGATGATGGCTTTGCTGGACTTAGAAACTTATTACCTTAGATTAAGTCCTTCGCTGCCAAGATTTCTTGTGGAAAATGCTTCTCACAGTCTAGGGTCTGTCTCGTAATTGTATGATATCAGATTGAATATATTAGAACAGATTAGACAGAGCAGAAAATAAACGTTCTTTTAAACTCACATTTATATTTATTAATTGTATCAAATATGTCTTCTACATAACGGCATTTTGCTTTATTTGCCTTTTAAATATGAAAGTTGTCTATAAACGCACGTATGTGACGCCGGGCTATAGTAAGTAGCCGTTGCAGCGCAAATAAGAGATGATTGACAGCGAAATGGTTAAACTAATATATACCTGTTTCCACCAAAAAGAAAACTTAAGTTAAGTAAGTGAATGTGAAAATGAATGACAAAATATTCAGAAAAAGTTTCTAAATTGATCTAGGCACGCATGTTCGTTTGTCTATCACGTTATTCATTGTAATTTTTGGAATATTTTGATGAAAATTGGTGCACTAATATATTTTGGACGGTATTGAAACATTTTTACGTCCACTCTCCCATAATGCTCTTCTTCAAAATGACGTTGTCTGAAAAAAGTATTTTTTTGCGAACAGTTCAAGACAGCATTTTATGTTATGGTGCATTTAGCCTATCGGCCTTATCCCACTTACTTGGGGAGGCTGAAAACATCAGATTCGCCATCGGACGCCGTCACAAGGCAAGTACACATGTTGAGCCACTCTTACTTCGTTTATTTAAATTTTTGTATTTTCCTCGATAATGTCGATTCGACTGATCGCCCTCTAACTTGCGAAATGGTCCCAGAATTTTTCCAGCAACTACTCACACATTTAGGGAGCATTCAATTTCTCCTCGTTCGGATGGTATTCCGGTGTTCATTATGAGGAACTGTGCAGACAAGATCGATATTTATGTTAATAGAATTTTCAATTTGTCATTAAGTAGAGGTAACTTTCCTAAGGTTTGGAAAAATTGTTTCATCCGCCAATGCACAAAGCTAGCAACAGGCACTTGCTTGATAACGACAGAGACATTTCTATACGTAGCGCGTTACCAAAGTGTTCTTTGAATATTTAATGACGCGAAGAGTAATAAGAGCAATCTTTACAGAGAAACCATTTGTAATCCCTGCTCAGCATGGACTAACTAAAGACTACGTCGGACTACGTCGACAAACCTTTTGGAACCATCACGTTCTCTACGCAAAGCGTTTTCTAATCAAACCGATGTGATCTGTTTCGATTGTAGCAAAATGTCCGATAAGATCAACCGTAAAGCTAAACTGGATTACTATTTATATTGTTCGTAAGTGTACGTCTTCAGAATATATTAAATAAGATGGCATATGGTATCCTTTTGGTGGGAAATTTTTTAATTTTTCTTCATTGACAAGACCTTGCATAGGTCCTAATACGTATAGCGTAAAAAACATGGAAAAGCACTTTAATATTGTCTATGTACGCAAATATATGTGGTACTTTGTTGTAAACCTTTCTTTAATCTTAAATAAATAAATAACGAAAAAAATTTTATTCTATATCTACTCCTCTCCTTTTCTTATTATAGAAAAAAAAGCATGCAAATTTTGATTTATTCTCGCACAGTGATGCACAACAAGAGTGAATTATTTATTTCTCAATGCAATTTAAGCTGCAGATTTTGCCATATTGTGAATTACTGCTGTGAATTATTGTAAGTGAATGACACACGTGTTTGTGCTGATTGTGTTTATGTGCATGCATATGCGATTTATTAATTAATAGTAGAAGAAAGAGAAAATTCTGTTCCCAAAGGTAACACTGGTCACTTCCAAGAAAATTCCAAACAAGAAAAAGAACACACACACAATATAAAAACACAAATAGTGAAGAAAAAAAAAACAAAATAAATAAATGTAGAAAACTACGTTCAGTTCAGTGCAGTTTGGGGGCGGGTATTTAAAAGGGGGGAATTAAAATAACAATAAGTAAATAAATAAATAATTAAAATTAAAAAATAATTGTTCCAAAAATTTTTTTCAAATATTTTAACCATAAGAAAAAATAATCAAAAACGAGAGTATTTCATATTAGCAGTGAAAGTTAGTTTAATATTAAATTTAAATAAATAATTTAGAGAGAGAGAGAGAGAGAGATGATGTTGTTTAACACTTTAAAGACTTAAAATTTTAAGTTAGTTACGTTATTGCTAACAATTTAGAGTTTAATGATTACACCTTTTAAAAAAAATAAATCTCCGATTTATAGGTTAGTGAAACCGACCATTGTGCCAAAAAATTCTTTGTTTTTTCATTCAAATATTTTCATTATTTTTTTTTTGTAAGACTTATAATAATAAATTTTATCTATTTTTAACAACAATTAGTAAATGTTTAAATAAGTATGGATTTCGAAGTATAATTAAATTCTGATTTATTGAGACCCACCAATCCATCTCTTCGTATTCCTTTCTAGAGCTCGCATTTACCTTTAAAAAATCTTATCAGGCTTCGAGTTAATTTTTTTATTGATAGTCGCTTGATTAGTTTTCACACCTCTTGCTCTCTTTATATCAGCCCATCTGTCCATTCTTCCGTTTGTTCGTTCTGCTCGCTCGTATGTTTTCCTCCCCTCAACGGTCTGCCTATCCAACTGTAGGTTTCTTTCTTAATACCGACGCAATGCGGTTTGTTGCTATGCCTGCATATTTGTTTACTTCTGCTTCTCTCTTCCTTTCGTCTATTCCATCGTTAATGTTGCCATCCTCGAGCTTATTTGTCTCTATTTGTTGGTTCTTCCGGTTGTTCGTGTTAACCTGTGTCTCTCTTTTAAAGTCTATCTATCTATTGACATCGAGCCTATTTATTCCCAGGTGTCCGTCCATACATTGGTTGTCAATCCGTCTGAATGTTGTATATTCGTTCATTTTTGTCTTCTGCCAGGTATTATTTGTTTTCCTGTTTTTTCTTGTGTCTCTCCGCTCGTCTCTAAACTTACCTACTCCTAAGTTTTTTGATTCGCCCTTTGCCGCTTGAGCCGTCCCTATCGTCATTTTTGTCTTAAAAACACACATCATTAAATTGGTCTAAAAGTGCGTCACGAAATTGGTCTCTACGGAATGTCTTATAATCGTAATGTGTATCTTTCTTGCTAGGGTGGTGGGTGTTAAAGATTCTGCTCAGCAATATAACAAAATTCAAGTCTGTATGTTTGGAGTTTTCATAAAAAAGCAATGTAAATGAAACCGTTACCGTTTTTTTTTGGCAAAGTCAGAACATGCAAGAAAAAATAGTTAGTTTTTACATAAATATAAACAGTAAGGGTTTTGTAGTTAAATGAGTTGAAAAAATTGGTTTAAAAAAATTTGTAAAAAAATAATAACGCATTTTGTCAAAAAAATACAGGGAAATCACCAAAGTGAAAAAAAAACAATTTTTTATTAATCGTTTTAACTTTTCAGGATGAGTTGGGGTCTCTTTTCCCTCTCACTTGCTACTAAACGGCAATTCAAGGCATATAGGAAAACCATAGAATCAGCTGAGCTATTTGGGAAGTGCCACTTCTGGCATGAAGGAAGCTATTCATTGCTTTTTTCGAGAAAACTTCAGTTGGTGAAACAACAAGGGCTGCTCATGTCCAAAACGTTAACACCGTAAATAATATTCTGAAATATGTCTGACTTTATCGACCGGCAGCTCGACCGCAGGTTCTACCTTGCGTCGGTTCTAGCAGAAGACTGTATATGATTTTCTGAAATATCCTGACAACCTCAGCAGTTTCTCGAAAGGCGCCTCGGCTGCAGATCCCCTCTGGCGCCGATTTTTAAAACATATAAAAAACTTCATTAAAAAACTTTTATCCGTTTTGTTTGTTATATTTAGCCCGAGCGGGAATTTACTTGTTTTGCATGGTAGTTGAACTTGGCAATTTAACCGTTTCAAAGACGAATTTGACGCCAAATATATTTGTTTTATTCGGTGCGTAAAGGAGCACCTGACTTCAGTTGAGAATAATGCTCATCCACTGTTATGTCTGCGCCAAGTTTATTCTTCCTTTACTTTATTTTATTCGCTTAACACGGTCAGGAAGAAACGACGAAAGAGAAAGAAATAGGGAGATAGTGGTCGCAGACTAGATCGATAAGTATTGTGGCTGACTGAGCACTCATTATAACTACGATCAAAGTGAAAACTACGGGATATGAAATTGGAACACTAAGGGATAGGAAGGGTAAAGATTAAATATTTGTATACATTTCACAATTTTATTAAAGGAAATTATTTTAGTGGTTGAAATAGATATCAATAAAGTCATAAATGAGTACTGAGGCAATCTAGTGTTAATAAACTATCGATCGATAAAGTGTCAACATTCTTCGCCAAGTTTAAGTGATGCGATTAAGATGATATCAGTTTTATCTTAAGGCAGTTTTGCTACTAGTGGTAATAATTCAGAGGCTTTTTACTCGATTCTCTTTTGGGGTTACATTTTTTATAGAAAATTATTTTCATTCATAATGTTTCAATAGTTTGCGGTATTTCATATACAAATTTTCATTGCAGCTGTGCTTAGAACTTCGAACTGATTGTTTTTCATATCCCATTGCTTATCCAACTAAAAAGGAAAATTAAAACATAACTAATGTAAAGCAATTTTACTTTACGGAGGGCAATTAACAATAATATCCTATAAGCCAACAATACTAAAAAAGTCAAAAATTTTTTTTACACTAACTTTTAATTTTTGCATAAATAATTCTATGTACTTTTTTGACCAAACGCATTTACATGTATTAGAGCCTTCGTCCACAGAAAAAAATATGATTTACAAGGCCAAGATATCAACTTTATCTTTTGGTAATGAAGAAACACTTTTTAGATAAAAAAATGTAACCCTTTCAATGATATAGTGGATGGACATTTACAAAATGACGTCACATTGCTCTGTTATTATTGTCACGGACGGTCTGTTAATTTGCTAACAGAGCTTCATATATATAAGCGTGAGATAATGGTTGGATTTCGAAATCTAGTTATATCCGGATGAGCAAATTTTGGTAATCAATTTCGAATGTTGTAAAAACCTTTTCTCCGGCGGAGAACCAATCTAAGCTTTTTTATCCATCTGTTCGTCCTATAATCCTGTGTCGAAGCTAGAGGTCACAATTTTTCAGATATATTGATGAAATTTGGTATACATATACCTTTCGATCTAAGGACGGCTTTTAATTAAAATGATTCGGTCGTACCGCTTTTCGATCACTTTCCATATCAAGTCTTATGGGTGAGATTATGATTGGATTTGAAAATCTGGTTTCGTCCAAATAAAGAACTTGCGCTAATCAATTTCAAATTTGAAAAATCGTTAGTTATATGATTAATAGTTTTAAGCAAAGCGCTTTAAGGTACTTTATGGAAGCCCGTGGCTCGCTATAACGCTCGTAATTGTTTTTTAATTCCTCTAAGCGGTAAATATTTTGTTTTTACGTTGAACGAACGAAGAGGATGTCCTAGATTTCTTCATCGGCGTTCAACACCCGGCAATGCACGTTAGAGAAAGTGTCAACATTCCTAATGTCCGTAATTTCGTTTAGCTCCATCCGCTTATTCCCCTTTGTTGCAACGCTATGTATTTGGTATTACACTTCCCTTATTCTCTCAACCGTAGTAATGAAAGGATCCACAAAGCCGCGCTCAGAATATTTGCAAATGTTAAGTAGCTACGGGATGTGCTTCGATTCCTAGCGTTCTAGTATGTAGTCTCTTATATATCTGCTTTGTTTTCATGTGATCTTTCTAATATATGTCTAGAGAGAGTTATTCTAGGTAAACGTTCAGTATTCTGATACACTTTTTGACGTTCTTATTACATATATAACCCTGGACATAAGAATGAATATCATGAAGCAAATGGGTACAATGAAAGTTTAGACAGCGAAGAAAGAAGAACTTTAAGGTATCGCACTTTGAAATATTATGTTTCAATCATGCCATAGAGTAGAGAACAGTAAGCGACAGTAAGATAAGCCATAGAGTATGTAAAGGTACAAACACTAATTGTAGATTTTAATCGTAAAATTTAAAGTACTTATACCGTCTTTTATTCGACTTAAAGGTAATATACCATACCATACATTTTTAACTAAGTAATTTATCTAAAATTTCATTTAATGAAAATACTTTTTAAAAAGAATTAAAATTGTTTTGCTTTTCATTTATTTCCATTTTCTATTTAAGAAATTTTTGCTTTAAATTTTTGTTTTGGGTCGGTTCCACTCACCTGCATCGAAGAGCAAAGCGTCATCGTGATCATCATAATTATATGATGAAGGCAGATTAGATTCCTCAGTATTATCCATAATATTACCTGTTGTTGAGGGTGTATTCTTGCAGCCAAACCACCAGTGACCTGAAGGTCGCGGAAATGGAGGATCAGCATAATCGACCTGTTATATTACATGGTGTAATGGTAAACTAAATTTGAAATCTAAAAAAATACTCACCGCAAACGTTCTATCATTAAAACGATAATATTTGTCACCTTTGAAGAAGTATGTATAACCATTTGTATATTGCAAGGCAGCATCCAAACTATTTGGAAGACCTTCCCAATTTGATATAGGTTTCGGGTAACTGGATTTAACTGGCGGTCTCTTTAGAGGATCGAAACGCCAAAATTTACTGCCTTTAAAGAAGTAAATTTTGCCATTACCTCCCCATACCATGGCAGCGTCCAAATGATCTGGTACTCCGGTAAAACCTTCACTGATCTCCTTTGGATAATCCCCGTCCACCGAACGCCCATTAAAACGCCAGTATTTGGTGCCTTTGAAGAAATAGGTTTTACCATTTTTATAAGTGAAAGCAGCATCAATGTCGCCTTCGTAAGAAAAATATACATAAGTCTCAAAATGATTTGACTCGTTAAACAAACACAAGATAAAAAATTACCTGGCAAGCCTGGCCACCCGTCCGAAATAGATTTAGGATAACCATCGGCCACTGAATTCTCCGTAAGCCGATAATATTTGTTACCTTTGAAAGCATATGTCTCACCATCTGCTGAATTGAAGAGAGCATCAATTTTAGGATCTCTACATAATTGATCGTCTCTTGGTGTTTTTGGAGGCGAAAATATTGGTTTCTGCGTTGTTTTGGGATAAGCACCGCCACTGGTGGGGTTCAAGCCATTGCCACCCTGTGTGCTTCTTTTGCCATATAAAGCTTGTATGGCCAGCACGTCATCGGAATCCAATTTGAAAACTGGTTCGAAGCCTCGATAAAACGGAGCCATTAAGGCGGAACGCACATCCGAATGCGATAAACCTAAGGAATGACCAAATTCATGGGCAGCCACCTGAAAGAGGTTGGTACCACGTGGAGAACCAATCGTCCAGAGTTCAGCATCATCAAAATGTGCGTCGCCACCGAAAACAGGGAAGAAAGCGTGAGCTAAAGTGCCGCCCATACCGTCGAAAGCATCACCATCACCATGTTCGCTTTCAACGAATCTAATTAAGTTAAATATTAATTAAATAAAACAAAAAAAGTTTAATGAATATTTCGAAAATTTACTTTATCTCAATATGAACGGGTCCCGACGTTTTTGGTGTGAATGTTAAATCTGTAAATTCACTCCAGACAGAAAAGGCTCGCAAAATTTCAGCATCTACGTCAGCCCTCTTCAAACGTTTTGGATATTTGCTAATTTTATAGGTTAGACCCTTAACACGCCAACGGCTGCCTTGGAGGGCATAACGTTTAGAACGATTATCTGAACCGAAACCTACTTTATCTCTGACACCGCATCGCGGTAAAGACATCAATTGCATGGTTTCTTCATCCAGTTCACCAGTCACATTTAAACCGGCAAAACTTTGAAAATCTTGTACTGCTTTAGTCCAGGTACTAGCATCAAGAAGGCCTCCAAGCGAAGGATTACGTGCAGACGCGGGTAAATAACCAAACTGTGACAGATAGATCTAGAGAAAGATTACAAAAAGTAAGTAAAAATATATATATTTAATATACAGTTATGATAAGTGCCTAATTAGCACCTATTCTTATAGTTTTTGATCAATTTCTAAGCAAATTTTTATACTTTGCACCTACTGTTGCACAGAAGTGTATTTAATTTGTGCTGATGTGTAGGATACTTAGAACGACCAGAGATACATCCACCTTTTACCATACACCATTCAAAACCACTTTCTGAATCCATCCAAACTTATCTGTTCATCTGCTCGTCTTGTATTCTTGTGTTCAACTTAAAGAAAGCAATTGCTGAGGCATTGGTTACAGCGACTTGTTCTGGTCCAACCCTATTAAAAATTGATTGTCTTCTTTGCAGTTTAGCTACGTTGTACAAATTAATTGTTCCTCTGTTGAATTCCGTAAAGTAATATTACCTCAATAACGGCATTGTGTAGTGGTTTTTTATTAGCAAGACCCAGTCTAGGGTTTTAGTTAAACAGCCATCACAATTTGAGTGTTTTTAATTTTATTTGAGTGAGTTCAGATGAGCTGAAGAGTTAAGTGGGCTCCTAAGTATGCGACGTATTTTCCCCGGCGTATTGCAGCACAATAGTCATTCGCACGTTTCCTTCGTAAGGTTAACAGCAATGTGCACACACTCACTGTGATTAACGTCTTACGCAAATAGAGAGCCAGCTCCTATACTTGTAGTAGTGAAATAGCACTAAATCATTTTCAAAATTTACTCAAGCACTTTGTCAAGCATATTTTGCCTTGAATGCCTTTACCAAGCTATAATCGAGGTACATTCATTTGCCAAAGGAAAATTTTTTGAATGTCAGTTGACAAAGTTGTTGAATATATTTATATAAGCAGCATTCTTTAATGTCACGTTACATGATCAATTGCTAAGAGTTGTCCCTTTTGCATTTGGACAGTGTTTGTATGCATTTGTGCTTGTAAAACATGCCCATAAATTTTTCGCCTTTTGCTTTACTATTATTTTTATTCTCTTTTATAATTTATAGCGATCAGATATCATAAGTAACTATAGAACTATTCTTTGGATATTGCGGCATTTCATAATACTTTTTATTTTGTTGTGACATTGAAAATATTTTCTATTAAAAAAAGATAGGCATGCATAGCTAAGCCTTACGCGTAACCAAAAGTGTTGATGTTGTGTAAAAACAATTAAAAAATTAGCATTTAAAGTAAGTGATACTAAGACTTAATAAAAAGAAATAAAAACACTATAGCGGGGTACGACTCACTATTAAATACACTACGCTGTTGTTATACTGTTGTTCATATAAGGACTTTTCAAAATAAGACGTTTTATGAGAATTGATCGAAGAAATGCTTCGATCCGAACAATTTCAGTAGCGTTCGTCCACTGATGAAAATATATCGATGTGCCAAATTTCATCAAAATATCTCTAAAACTGCTGTTTGTAGTTTGAATACAAGAAATTAAAACGGACAGACAAGCTTGGAAAATGGTTCTAAATTGGTCGGTGAAATAAGAGATAAATTAATCTCAAGTCCTTCTGTATACGTCCGCACGAACAAGTGGTATGGGATATAAACTTTGTTACACAATTTTGTGGTTATAGCCTACATAACATGCAGCAAAGCTTAAGATAGATCCACCATTTATTATACGTATCATTTCCTGAAAATGATTCTGAATCGATTTAAGCCTGTCTATCCGCCTGATGTCTGCCCTTGTAAATTTGCCTTCAAGCTAATTTTTGAGATATTTTGAAATTTGGTACGTTGACGTGTTGTGACGCAAGAACGAAGATTTTTGAAAGTGGTTTGGGTCGGTCCTCTTGAATGAAAAATTTGTTTCGGACATGGAAATGAATCTTACCGACTTTATACCACGAAGGTCTATTTTTTGCATACCACCGCATATAAAGATTGGGCTTTGATGAAAACTACGCTTTTGCAATGAGGTATTTTGCTGTACTATTAGCAAAACGAGTGAATGTAGTGGTGTAGGCGAAGTGGTGTAGAATGTCTACAAGTCGACTTTGCCCGACTATAATGTTCTTACTTGTTTTCGTTTATTTGAATTAATTGCGACTACACCTACTGTAAAGAAGTAAATTCTTATAAAGACATTTTTAAAGAAGTAAATTGTTATAAAGACGTTTTTTCGGGAGATGATGACAAGGTTGCGTTTTCATTATACACATTAATATTGATACTGCACAAAAGAGGGAACCATAAAACTATTCATATGCATGTGAATGAAGTGAATGTAAGACAGGTTAAAGGCAAGGCTTGCACTATTTTGTCTAACACATCTCTTTATTGCATCTTCTTCGCGAGAAAATATGACAAATAATGGTTTGTTACCACACAAAAGCTAACTTTTGATAGGAACTTTTTTATCAGGAGTGTGTCAAAATCAATCAATAGTCTGAATGAAAAGTGTAGTGGACAGAGAGAAAGACAGATCTAAATGTCATGATTTAGAAAACGATTCTCAGTCGATTAAGTCTATCTTAAGTCTTTTTTGAGAGCTATATACATTCGCACATACGTGCTGTATACTGTGTACAATATGCACTACTAACTACACACTATGGTTTATTATTATAGATAAATAAAGTTTTAAGAAAGTGCTGATGGCTCTTGTCCTACAAAATAATTCAAATTCATCCGTTTACAACTATTTCTTCCTATATGATTAAAGTGTCACAGAACGAAATCAACAACAATAGCAGAAGATTAAAAAAATAAATTAATAATATCGTGTTACCGTGTGTATTTGTGTATGCGTGATGCACACATTTGTGAAAATTTCAGAAAGTGCCGGTCAATTCTCAATAGCAGTTAGAACAAGGTTCTAACCAAGGTCGCTATGGATGTCATATCTATATACAACGTAAGCACTGAGTAAGTATTTGGTGGAAAGAAACAATAAAAATTTTAGTACAAATTTTTGAGATTTTAACTTAAATAATTTTTAATATCTTAAATTTTATTATTATTTTTTTTTTTTATTATTATTCTTTTGTTTTATTCTCGAAAATATTATCATATCACAGCTAACTGATTAAATATTACCAACGTGTTACGAACGATGCGACATACATGCATAATGATTTCATTTTCTCGTCCTCTTCTTCTTCTTTTAACCCAAAAATTAATTCTTGTGAGTTTACGTCTCATAAAACTAAACCCACAGAATAAATTGTCCGTATACTTTACGTGTAGCTGGCATATTATGGTTAATGAAAAAATTATGGCCAGGCTTTAAGAATTTTTAATAAAGTATGACATGTTGCTTTGAAAGGAATTAAAACGAACTTATGATAACTTATCGAAGTATGTTCATTAAATAAAATCATTTGAAACTAAAATTTAAAATCAATTTTATAGTTAATTTAGCTTAATACACAAACTTGTGTAATGCACTCGCTGCTGGCGCTACTACCGCTAATATTACTATCCCTACTACAACTAATGGTGCTATTTGTGTTGCCACTAATAGTACTGCTACTAGTACCACTATCTGTACTAATAAAATTGCTACAGTCCCTGCTACTCGTACTACAACTGCTGCTACCACTAATGCTATAATCAATATTGCTGCTTTATTTCGGCTGCTATTGCTAATGCTATTGCTACTACTACCGTACAAAATTAATATGCTAAACATTATGAATTCAAAATAATTTTACATTAAATGCAATTAATGTTAAATTATAGCATATAATTGTCTACTAATTTGGAAAGTAATAAATTATTAAGTTAAGGTGTTACAAACATTGTACTAAGGTGTACTAGATTGGGCGCACTACCCGCTGTTGCTATTTTCAAAATTTTTGTCATGATATTTGTATTAGTTTCTCCAGCTGTTTGAATTTATCAAACTCATATTTTAGGAGTAATCGTGAAATGGTATAAGATTTAATAACACTCGCAGGGTATTTAAACTCTAAATCAAAGTTTGAGTTCGTCGAGGTAACTTTATATACCCTAGGGCCACCCGGCAATCGCTATAATTACTCTGGTAAACAAACGATGAAATGCTTAGTAAACGAGTTGAAATCAACCCAAGTAGTTCGTAATGTTCCCACAACAAAAGAAATCTCAAGTACAAGAAGAGACGAAAATGTGTCCACGATTGCTGAAGATTGTTTCAAAGCCATCGTACAAATAGCGTTTCTGGCCCATTTTACATGAAAAATTCAATTCCTCCGTCACGACACATGTAATTTTAGCTTTCTAGACCGCTTAGACAACGATTTTAACTCGGCCTAATGACTATGTCGGCAAACGAAACGAACTGATTTGTTTAAGCCGGCAAATAATTCTACTGTACCATGTATATAACTTTTTTTATTAGAATCATTAAGTTGTACATGTTTTCAAAGCTCTCTAGCCATGCAGAGGCAAAAGTTAGAAGAATTAAAAACTAACCGGTACTTGGTATCAACAATGTAGCGCAACATGTAAAAGAGTTGATGAAAAAATCGTGTTACTGAAAACAAATGTTGATGTGAAACTTTTATGAGAACTCCTGTGCGAACACTACAAATTGATCAGATAACTCCGCCCTCTATTTTTCGATCTACTATGGTCGATGATGTAGTATCTTGTGTTATTATGCACTTTGAAGTCTTTCTTTGTTACTTTTTACGTTTCGTCAAAATTCAGTTATGTTCCTTACAATTGTATGCTATTATTGTTTATATTATTTTACTTCTTTCACGTTATATTATATTATAAGATTTTCTGTTTTCATATGCTGTAGTGGATTGTTTAATGTTTGATTTTTTTCGATGAATTTCTTTCGGGCTATTCTTCGCATTCTTTTGCTATATTTACACTTCTTTGTGTGCAATGTTTCCTGGGCTATGAGGTATTATTCTTTGCTATTCTGTAATAATTCCTTTTATTTTATATGCGAAAATATCTCTTTACGCGATTGTTACCTTGTGATTGTATGTCGTTTTGTGTTAATATGCCTAATACTTCCAGATCGTTC